TGCCTTTTTCTTTTTTTTAGTGTCCTCTGACAAAACCTTTGCCTTCTTCCTTGTAGCTGTTGGTTCGGCCGTGCCATCCATGCAAAAGCAGAAGTCGTGTGGTGTACAGGTACATCTGTACAGGCCAACATCTGATGCCTTCCGCTGGGATCCCAGAAAACCTGCAATACAAACATAGTACAGTTAAAAATCTATCATACATACATCTCATCTGGTATCACAAATTATCATTCCAGGTTTCATTTAAGATATGCTCACTATTAGGGCTGCACGATATTGAAAAACTTGATGAAAAATGAATTCCATTACACGAGAGTAGATGTTAAAACTTCATGCTGATTTGTACTCGACTTTCGCCAAGATAGTTAAAACTTCATGCTGATTTGTACTCGACTTTCGCCAAGATAAGCAAAACTAAGACGTAGCTTTACAGTAACCTTTGCTTCTCCATCCATTTACGCCTCTTTCCATCTGGTGGTGTGACTCCCCTTCTGTCTGGCGTTAACGGCTGCAGTGTATTTGGCGCGTCAGTACACACAACGGCTGCAACCACAGTGCGGTCTCCCCAATGGATCAGCATGACAACCGTCTGGATTGAGCCGAGTAGCGGACATCTCTAGGGTCTTCAAGTGGGCACCTTCCGTCCTCAGTGTTTCGTCGACTAGCCCACGACACCTCAAGAGGGCTCGACAGTGACTCTGGCGTCCCAGAGTCACCCCCCTCCGTCCCCCACTCAACTCAGTCCAGCTTACTGACCTCTACATCCCTCCTGCTGCTGAGGTTGCTCCTTCCTCGCAGTTCACATGTGACCTACCCACAATCTCTCACGATCTCTCCGCAACCCGACCATACGCGCCAACCCGTTTGACTAAGGCTGTCGAGCCCCACTGCAGTCGTTAAAGCGGTCAGTGGCAACGGTTCCGTATGGCATACTACTGCAAAACACAATATCTGTCCAAACACCTCATATCCTTGTATCCTCATTCACGCAAAATACACAGGACGTAATAACTGTAACTACTCTGCAAACTATACAACTAAACCAACAGAGTCAAGTTTTCAAGAATTCTTCGAAACCGTAGCGTGGCGGCCTGTACACAGCCAGCCAGAATCTTTCCGTCTCAACCACAGCCAGTTGCTGCTCCTTTCTGCTGCTTCAGATAAGTTTTTTACTGTGCGACGCAACTCTTGGCCGCTGAATCCGATGTCTCTAAGGAACCGGGTTGTAGAGTGTGCCACAAAACCTCGACAACCCACTTCCAATGGATAAACCCGGACTCTCCATCCTCGCTGTTCTGCTTCAGTGGCCAGATGAGAATACCGCAGTTTCTTCCTCTTCCAAAATATATATTTTGTTTTTCTGCTATATATATTGCGATATATAAAAAATTTCATCAGAATATTTATTTAGGTCTATTTGAAAATAATTAATTATTATAGAATAATTGGGGAGATTTTGTAGAGAAGTGAATCTGCATTAGGGTTGGACCCGAATATTCAAATATTCGTTCGGTGGGTTGGTATTCGATTTGAAAATGTGACATTCGAATATTCTGGGATTTTTTTGCACACCTGGCATCCCCCTCGAAACGGTTCTCATTCGCGCTTGAATATGTTTTACACTATAAAATCTGGTGAAATATAATACTTAACATATAACTTTGTTATAGCTACTTAATAAATATATTTGCTTCTTCTTGGACTACTAAAAGTGTTCCTGCAACGGGAGTATTCTCTGGCTAGAGCGCAGAACAGCGGAGTTTGTATGGACAGAAGTGCCTGAGCTTGTATTTTGGGTTAAGCTGCGTTGCTTTGACATTGTTGAAAATAGAATAATACAAACAAAATGTATTATCCTATTTACCCCTTATTATCAATCTAAATTAATCTACTGCGAAATATAGGAGAAATTTCGTTTTTCTATATTTAAATTTCGTTTTTATTGATTTAAATTTCGTTTTTATTTATTTTTTAAATTTCGTTTTTATTTATTTAAATTTTGTTTTTATTTATTTAAATCTACCCTACTTTGTCAGTGAGAAAAATATTATAAGACTACCTTATTAAAAATATCGCTTAAGTTAACAGACCTGTGTGTGTGTGTGTGTGTGTGTGTGTGTGTGTGTGTGTGTTTTATATCACTAGTGCAGTGTCCGTTCTCGGAGCATATAACAGGGTTCCTGCACACTTTTGAAAGTCAAATTTAAGGCTTTTTAAGACCTTTTTAAGACCTGAAGAAATCAAAATTAATACCATACATTAGGGCTGTGCAGTATTGACAAAAAAATATCTTGATATTTTCAACGTTTTGTTGATAATAATTAGATGATATTTTACTGATTGTGTTTTTGTGCTGGTGCCATGGCTGGTTTAGGTCTGTTGTTGACAGCTGACTCACGAAGATATTCAAATTTTTCATATTCTATGCAGTGGTCAGTTCACAGCAGTGACAGAAATTAATATTTTAATTAAGGGGCAATATTTGCCACCTTAAATTGATTTTTTCAGGGGCATTTTCACCTATATATGGACATTTTTTCTAAACTTATTTAGAGTTATGCATCACCTTTAATGTCAAATACTATCATTCAAATTAAATTATACAGTAATTATACAATAATACTTAATTATATAATAATCATACAGTACCACTGTTACCTGTCAAATTAAATCATTCAATCAAAATCCATCTTTGCAGTGCAGAGGTGACAGAAGCGGCATCAGAAGTGGCATTAATATATTTACACTCCATTTACAACTGCATAAAAAAAAAGCTATGAGATATATATTTTTAAATCAATATTCAATATTTAAATATGAAATGATTTCTAATTTTAAAATTTTATTTAAAGGGTACTTTAAATATGAAACCGCAGCGGCAAATCACTGTCTTAATAAGTGAGTTGAGGGAGTCATTCATTCAACCGATTCGTTCAAACGGCTGATTCATTCGGGAAAGAAGCAAGTGATTCGTTCAAAACGCGGATTTCAGTCAAGAAATCATCGCTGTGTTGCATTGAGACTCTGCTACGGTTTCATTTTGAAATTATAGTCGGCGAAATAAAGGGAAAACAAACAATATTGACAATATTGTGTCTAACAAGTAACTCAATGTTAACTTATTGTTAATTTAACTGTTGTACAACATAAATATCACACTTGGAATTGTGCATGGGAAAACGGCACTCTTTCTGATGTGATATTCTAATATAAGAACATAATATGATATAAATATAAGACAAAAACTAATTTGGGGACATAACAGTTACACTGCACACATCACGCAGTGAAAGCACGAGACAAATGCGATGTCAGCTCGCAGTGCCTCGTACATCGTTAAAACAATGATTACAATATCATAATAGACAATACACATCGCACACCATACGCACATAAAGAATGAACTTACAACTGAACTGACATTTAACGTTACGACCTTTCTTCTCCTTCTCTCCTCTCGCGTGCAGGAGACAGTTATGCTGCCGCGACTCGCGAGTGACGCGAAATGTCACGTGAACTAGCAAATCCACAAAGATAGAATAATAAATAAATAAAAATACGTACGCTAATTAGATGGTTTTAATTTGGAAATCTTTTAGATATGTCTAAGTCAAAGTGTCATCTAAAATTTAAGACCTTTCATAAGTAAAAATAAGACTTTATAAGACTTTTTATGGCCTTAAATTTTAAAAATCTAATTTAAGACTTTTTAAGACTTTTTAAGGATCCGCGGGAACCCTGATATAAGCTCTGCTCGCGTGAGGCGCGCCGCTTCCCGCTCGCGCTGTTCTGTAGTTTATTAAAAGTTTATTCATCCTGGCAAGTAGGGGTGGGGGTGGTGGTGGTGGTGGTGGTGGTGGTGGGGGGGGGGGGGGGGGGGGGGGGGGGGGCTACTGTTCAGTTTTGTTGATGGGGGGTGATTGTTCAGTATTGTTGACCTTTGGGTCTTACATGCGCTTCAAGAAACACACGCACATTTGCACACACACACAAGGTCTCTCGCTCTCTCCCTCTCTGTCGTGCGCGCGCAACACGGTTTGGACCTCGCGAGTTCCGGGAGAATTGAACTAATTTGCGGGCATCAGGGAGCCACTATCAATATGCGGGAGACTCCCGGAACTTCCGAGAGACTTGGGATTTCTGAGACATATAGAGATTCCGAAGCTTCGAATATTCGATGATCATTACTACCAAAGCTTCGAAGCTCAAAAAATGGTATTCGGACCAGCCCTAATCTGAATAGAAAATTATAAACAAATTACAAGCATTGATAAATACATTGGAAGAAAAATACAATTGAAATAAGCAGTGCATTATGTTTTTTAGGAAAATCGAACTCATCAGGTACATAAATTGAATTATCGAATGTAAAATAAGTCTTCACTGTAAAAATGAAATATAACTATTAATTCATTTAATTTTTGTTAAAGCTACAGGTCATTTTCTCTTTTGTTGTTTGATCACCATTGGCGACACAAACAGCTGCGGGAACATTAGGCTGCTGTCCCTTTAAGACGGATGCACAGACCTAATATATGAAACGCATACACAGGGTATCTGCACATTTTTTAACAGCAAATTTAATGACTTTTAAGACCTTTTTAAGTCCTCTAAAAGGCAAATTTAAGACTTTACCACGACAAAAAAAAAAACAGGAAAATGTTCAGCACGACAGTGTCAATTTTGGCAGCCATTTTTGTTTTCGCAAGTAAGTATGCCATTAAAACATACTTGCCCATTTTGATTTCGATTGTGGAAAATGTTGTAGTTGACCATCTTTGTTGTCAAGATCATGTAGCTGCTTCTAATTTGCAAAAATGCGCTTTATTGCACTTATTATTGAGAACGTTCTTAAGCAAAAAAGGCTAAATGTGTGAATATAAGACCAACTTTACCTAAGTCATTAAAAATACTACATATGGATGAATTCATACGGATGAAAGCCTGTTGTGTTCGGTCTCTTGATTTGTGATAGTGGCAGCTATTGTGAAACTTACCTTCTTCATGTACTGAGTGTGGATGGCATCAAGATCTTGTCCTGAAGAATCACAGGTCCAAACGCTAGGGATTATACCTCATCTGGTGACAAGAGCATAGCCATAACTTTAAGAACTCTAATGATATCTTTACCCCTGATATTGCATTGGGGATATAAATTCAAACATTTTAAAGGCTAAGAGTATGAGCCACGAGTAAGCTGGCCAGATATCTGTGAAAAATAACTTACGTGCCTAAAGTTGTCGACCCCCTGACCAACATTCAGCATTTATAAGTAAAAATAATTTCAGTATTTATCAATAAAACATACATACGAATAAATAAATACCTTTGAGTTGGACAGTATGGTGTCTGTCTCATTGGCCAACATAATTCAAGACAGACCTAGAGAAATAAAATAAAATATACCAATGACCATGATATTATCATAATAGTTAAATGAATTATTATAACTATGAACATTATATTTGTCACTTATTATTAGCTGATTATCTAGCCTACAGGCTTCTCAAGGACAATTTCACTGAAAAAACCTGGGGTTAATGATTTCTAAAATGTGAGACTTCTTTCAAAAGCATAAATCTTACAGACCCCAAACTTTTGAACAGTAGAGCACTGTATGTTTGAGGTTTTGCTTACTAATCATATGGTTCATAGCCGTGGAGATTGTCTTGGACAGGGGGTGCAGCAGGCCATCAACATGATGATCTAGGAACAGAACATGCAATTTGTCACAGAGCCAACAATGTTAAATAGGATTTACAATAGAATATAGGGTTTATTACAAGGAACCAAGCTAGGCAGAGGTGAAATGCAGAAAAGAGAAAGAATAATATATATATATATAACCTTAAGATAATATATATTGTGAAATAAATGCATATGAAATTATTATGATGATGATTTAACAATAATTCACCCTTTATTGTAGAGTTTTTTTTCTGTCGCTCCTGAAATCACATTTTTTTAATCAATATTTGTAAGTGACGTCACTGATTAATAGCACAGTGCATTCTATTAGGCTAAATAAATTAGCTTACTTCCAATCACCAATTAACAAATTACAAGCAAAACAAAATTATCAAAAACTGTTATCTAAACAAAGATGTGGTTAAAACCCCAAACTTATATAAACAAGAGCTAAGTCTGTAGAGTTAGCCTTAACTTACCTCTTCTGAAAACGGTTGAGATGCTAACGGACTTTTTCGAAGACACAAAACCATTTCTATAAAGTAAATATTCAACAGATGCGTATCAGTTACACTTAAGAAAGGTGTCAGGAACGTTTGTATGTATTATTTGTGTGATTTTTTTTTACTAAACTTACCTAAAAGCAGTGAAAACAACAGCAAGAAACGCTAGTTTTGCTGTTTGTCAGTTGATGACGTTTCCTCGTTTCCATCTGCTCTCGCGCGCGCTCCAGTCTTTAAATGCGACTCGAATGTTTACGCGCACGCGCATTAAAACACTCCAAAGGCACGCAGCATATAAATAAACATCTAGAATTAAAACATATAACATAATTTAAAATATCATTAATATTAAATCATGAATTTAAAACTCATTGTGTATAGTTCTATGACCCATTAACGTGCAAAATGCCACCCCTGCAGCAGGTGATAGTGGGACAAAGTGGCACTTAGTTTAAGAATTTAACACAACCTCTTTTTTTATTTGTAAACGTGCTTGCAATATTTTTTATACCATCACTTTGCTTTTGATTTTATTTGTATTATATATATATATATAATATTGCATTCATAGTGTAACTTAAGTGTCAAACTACTTTTCAGACATACATAAAGAAAATCACATTGTAACAATTTAAAATGTTATTTTTTTTTTTTTTTTTTAAGTGGAAAGTATTAAGGAGACACACAAGTTTTGGGTGTAGGTGTGCCACAGTGCAGATGTTTTGGTGTAGTGCTGCTGTGTTTCTGTCTAACTGTCAGTTGTTCTCCCCTAACTGCAGTCTTCAATGACACAATCAGTTTTATGTTTGTGGAATTTGTGAGTGGAACTTAATGTAAAATAAACCTGTATCAGATTATGTGTATCATGTGTTTGGTGTCTTAAGATATTGTACAGCTTATCTAGTTTTGCGATTACATATGACATTAAATTGGTCATTGTATAGAGACATTGTTTTACTTGTAATTTGTGAACAAGTCTATTCACAACTGAAACACTTATTAAAAATAAAAAAGCTGACTATACTTGGTCAGACAACTATGGTGAATGTGTTTGTTCAAACGATATTTGAATCTGAATCGAGTCCGGGCATGCTACAGATTTATGCTATAATTTATTTTAATACTTAATTTATTATAATTTAATTTAATAATTTTAATATAATTTTGTTTTATACTGTTCAGATATACTGTTGTATTAACAACTATAATAATTTAGGCTGTACCATCTAGCCAGCCTAACTATGATGCTAAAACCTTATCTGTATATGGACTATGAAATCTGATTAATTTGTAATTAGGTAAGATGTTCAACAGCTTGACCAGGCTGGGAGACCAGCTTGACCATCTAAGCCAGGCTGGGAGACCAGCTAAATCAGGCTGGGAGACCAGCTTGACCAGCTGACCACCAACTTGACCAGGCTGGGAGACCAGCTTGACCAGCTAAGTCAGGCTGGGAGACCAGCTGACCACCAACTTGACCAGGCTGGGAGACCAGCTTGACCAGCTAAGCCAGGCTGGGAGACCAGCTAAAACCAGCTACTTCCAGCTTAAACCAGCTAAGACCAGCCAACCAGCTTAGGCTGGTTTTAGCTGGATTTTTCAGCAGGGCTACTTCTTAATTTATGGTGAGAGGAGGAGAAACAGCCACATCTGAACCAAAAATGATAGCTAATTGGTCAGAACCTCTCCAGGAGACTGGACAGATACCTCAGTTTAAAATCACAGGACATAAACAAAGGATCAGACAGAGTCAGATCAAGAGAGATTAAAATGGGTTAAGGACAGCTTTATTCAAGCCATCTAACTACTCGTCTTATTTTCTTTTCCTTAGTTTCTTTTCTTTCCGTTGAGTCTCATGTTCTAAGTTAAGTATTGCCGCAAACACACCAACGTGATTGACCCCTAAGACACGACAACACACCAGCCAATCAACAAACCCGCTTTTCGAGCAAAGGACACCGACAAAGGGGATCCCCAAAATGAACACAATTAAGGAACTCAAACACAAGTAGCCCTCCAGATTCTTAGCTGAATGGTGCATTGATATAAAATGTAATAACCCTGCCTAAGCAACGATAGAAGGGTTAAATTAATCATTGATGGTTTGTTCAGGTCAGGCTTTACAAAGTGCATATTGCTAGTAACGTGGGATTTCATCATTTCACACATTAACTTCTTTCCTCACTTTCTTGATTTCTGCAACTCGTTTGAATGTGTGTGCGCATATGTTTATGTTTTAGATGTTAGTTTATGTGTTAGAATAATCAAGAAAGTCTCGTTTGTATCTAAAGAGAAGTGTTCTTGTGTTATGTGCTTACGAATTTAATGTCTTAAACTGCTGATCTAGGCATATATTACCATGCTTAAGTGTTTTCACTATAGTTTGGATATTAATATTGTTGTGATTGCATGTGCCAGTGCCACCAATAAATAAGTACCAGATCACCAAATGTTAAAACCCTATTAATCTTTGATTTAATTCTCACCAGATATCTATAACGAAACATGGAAAACTTAGATTTGAGAAGGCTTAATAAGGTTATTCCTCAATATGATGTTTTGTTAACAAAGTCCGGGAGGAGCACGTTCAGATAATTAACACGGGTGGAGAGCACTCGGCAAAAAAAATGATAAGAGGTGTATATAGATTCAGCAGTCCAAATATGCATTAAACTTTGCTCCCTCTAATTGCATGTAAGTGTGAACTCGTGAAATAGAACACAGCATGTAAACTCTGTCATGAAAAATGCTGTTGCTGTTCTCAGTGAAATCATTGTGCTGCCCAGTTAATTTTCTTGATTTTCTGTTACATGTTACAACAGGAGGAGTTGTTTTGTCACTAGATAAGTAGATGTCACCAAAATGTTTCAATAAGTTGGCATTAAGGAAAGTCTGAGATATTGCAAAATTTTAATCAAACCTTTAAAGAGAGTGTGAAACATGAAAGAGATATACACTTGTAATCATTGGATTTACAGATTAACATGTTGATGGATTGGTCATCCATCCAGGGTGTTTCCCTGCTTATGACCTGAGATGCTGGAATGAGCTACAAAGGGATAGGCCATGCAATCCTGAAAAGGACAAGTGCCATGCTCAATTCATGTAGCCAGGCCTTCAGTTTGATCTATCCTCAATGCAGATTTGCGGAAACACAAGACTTCACTTGATCTATACTGGTCATTATGATTTCAGAAGAATACAGAATAAATCAAATATAAAATTGTATTTGTCAGGTAAAAATGTATCATGCCAATTACACAATTAAATAAACAATTAGAAAACAATTCAAAAATGATAATGCAATTGTGAATCACATTGTAGCCACCTGGGAATTCTATGCTCTTGTACATGGTTTTACTGGAGCTATATGGGAAATAGCAGTGTTCCATATAAGAGACAAACAAATTCAACAGTCACTTGTAACTTGAAATTGGTGGGCAATTCCAATGTTAAGGCCAATTCACATCGCACAGACAAACACTAACAAACAAGTTGGCAGTTGGATTTAGACATTTCTGAAAATTAACTCATGTTCACAGACTTCACACTGCCCCAACAGACATGACAAACGCTGATTAAAAATGTTTAGTCGGGTGAAAACAAACCCCGACCAAAGCTAACAGACGCCGACGAGGTAACACACTGATCCGACAATTATCTGTGCAGTGTGAATTGGCCTTTACACTCATTCCAATTGATACAAGAAACATGGTCTAGAATGCATAGCATCAACAACCTTTAACCTAAATATTGCATACACTTACAGTAAAGCAGTGGTGTGTTTTAAAGAATAAACTCAACTAGTCTATGTGTACTGTAGTAGCACAACCAACTACTGTATAATGTGTGTCCTATGCTATGAGCACAATGTGTTTAACACAATTACACATTTGAAAATACAAAGAAATGCATACATGACAGTGGGGAGAGACACGGTGTTACAGTGTGTGAGTTCTAAGGACTCAAGAAACTTCACAGCACTGTGTGGGGGTTTTCTAGTTACATATTCCCAATGACTGTTCTGCCAATTTCCATTAAATACCCAGACCAGAACAAACGAGTTATAAATATTTACTACACCAATATTATATTTTGGATTTGTTGAACCTACTCTCGTGCCCCAAATGAGCCATGATTATCAGGTATCTTGAGGAGACACCACCCAAAAAGGAACAGAATCTTTCAATCTTTCACATAATATACAGTAAGTAAATCAGTGTGATTAGTAAAATGGGCTCAATTTCACCAAAGACATTTAAAATGATACCAAACATGAAAGGGAAAAACAAAAGATTCACAAGATACATCAAATGTTTAATATCGACATTTTTGGTAAACTTTTAGTGACTTGAGTAAGGGTGAAAGGAGGGGAGGAAGAGGGCGATGAATAGATAAGTGAGGAGAGAAGTCTGGGGAAGGCGGTGTCCTATACTCTTTCTTTGAGATCTCTCCAGATTAATGAGCTTTATTGTTTTATTACAGGTTAGGATTCTCAAGTTCAGTCTTAGTGGAAATCCAATCTGACAATAGATGCAGTGCTTTGACAATGACTTCTACTCTTGTGTAGTCAGACGCTGGGCAGTGATTAATAGTGGCTTCTCATGTTTAATTCACCAGCAAAAGTAAACAAACCACCAAGAGGATCAGAGAAGAAACAGTCTTGGCACTGGAATTACGAAATTCTCTAAAAAGAGGAGAGAAATACAGATGTGATGATAAATTCAAAACACTCTCTGCCTACACAATAGCCCCTCAATGGAAAATTAATTTCATTGCATATATTTTGATACTGTACAGGTCATACTTAACCCTCAAGTTGTGTTTGGGTCATTTTGACCTGGAGATAATTTTCTTTTTCCCGAAAATGCTAGTTAATGTTATCACATTGGAGTAAAACTTACTGACTTTACTCACCCAGGGTATGACAACTCCCCCCAATTTTTTTATTTAATTTTTGTCTTTTTTTGTGTCAAAATGTTATCACTATGCTATGTTCTCACCAAATATTGGATTCATTTCTTTATGTCAACTTGTTTTCTTTCAATTAGCATTCTATTATTCTTATTGGTTCTGATTGATCCTCCTTTATCTGAGCTCATGCAACAAATGTTTTGACCAAATAAAGAATTATGTGTGTGTAATTTTGACAATATTGAATAAAATTTTAAACTATTCTGTACAATTTATCGCACTAGTGCGCTTTAATGTTTAACCAGGAAGTTTGTTTTGAAATGCTTTCATCATGTACAAAATGGCACAAAGTCAAATTTGTGGTGTTCCCGATCATTTTCCCGGCCTACAAAAAATTGATTCAAAATCTCTCGTTATGCTATATTATCACCAAATATTGGATTTTATCTTTTTGTCAACTTCTTTTCTTTCAATTTTATATTCGATTTCTTTCAAAGGTTTTATATTTATTTTTTAACTGACTGATTGTAGGGCACATTGATCTGAGCTTATATTGGT